TATCAGGCGTATCACCGCACGCTCCCGCCTGGGCCTTGGATTCTTGCCAATGCGCATGGCAGCCTCTGCAGGACCGAGACGTGATGGGCCTGGCGATCGTCGCTCTAGCGGCAGCACGAAAGTACCGTCATCTACAGGCCCGTTGGACCTTCTTCATGAGTGGGTCTTCCACACGGAGCTTCGTGCTCAAATTTCCATCGCGAGTGACTCAGACGTCGCGGAGGCGATCTCCACATCGCCGATGCGCAGCATTACCGCAACCTCCAGCCCTGCTCAGCTCAAACGAGCTATCTGGTCCGGAGCAAGCTGCAGTCTGCGCGTAGAGTGCGATCAGGACGGCATAGCCGTGGTGCTGCCGCGCGGTGAAAAAGAAGGCCCTCAAGTCACGGTGCTAGGTCAGCACAAGCAGAATTGTGGATCACCGAAACCTTCGCTAGGTCGCATCAGTCCGCCAAGCTCCTGTTTCCTTCGACCGCCCGCTGGCGTTCGCTCTCCTTTGTCCGAGTCCAGAAAGTTCTCAGCATCTCTCGGTATGGCCCAGGCGGTTGCAGCCGAGCAAGATGCTTGATTGAAGCATTCCAATGTAGGCTGGCCGCTACAGAAATCGCCATGTACGACTCAATGCAGACACGTCAAGCACTATACACTCATCATCTTACCTGGAACGATCCGTCCGGACTCGCCCGCGAGGCTTTGCAACGGCCGACTCCCACCACTTGTAGGCTCATCACGAGCAACTATGCCTAATGACGGCCACACAATGCACATAGTTCTATACGCGCTTGTTTTCTCCGGCTCCAGCTAGATTGCCAACGAGTCGGCTGGGACGCAATGCACGAAGGCTGTGACGGGTGCTGATTCGATGCATGGGCATTTTCACGACGCTAGTCGAGAGACAGTGTACAGGAAGCGCAAGCCCGAGGCGCTGGTAGTGGTGTTGATGATGCATGAGTTTTCATGTGCGCATGTCTGAGAACGGCGAGTCGGGTCGAAGAAGACCTGCCTCATCCTGGTTGCCGAAGGCTGCAATGCCAATTTAGCGGCGACCCGCACCAACGACAGTTCGGCCACCGCGGCGCTCGGGAGCTTGGAACTGTGTGACAGGTGCGGAAACACTGACGGGCAGAGAGTCGAGGCCAATGGATTTGAGCATCTCCTTGGTGTCGGGGTCGACCTCAAGACCGCCGGATGCGGTGGTGTCAAGGGCAGACACTTCGGGAACGTATTGATCCTGCATGTTGGAAAGGAATGAGGTCAGTTTCGCTCTGCTCTCTCTCGCTTTCTGATGCGGAGCTGCGGGGGTGTGGGATGTCCCTGGTTCAGGCTGGACTACTCACCTTGCGCTCACGCTCCTCCTCCTGCAGCTTGAAGCTGATACCGCGGACAGGTCCCTTCTGGATTCTCCTCATCAAGTGGGTGGTGAAACCGGCAATCTTGTTGTGGAGACGCTTGGAAGGCACGATGGCAACCTCATCGATGACGCGCTTGTTGGTGTGGAAGTCAACAGCGTTGAGTCGAGGGCTAAGGGCGCGGCAAAGTTGTAGAGGTCAGAACTTCAATCTGTCTTGCTAAAAGTACCAAATTGAGCCTTAATCTGAGGTGATTAATGCCTGTGTCGATGCTCCGCTCCCTATGCACCTTCACACGAACATGCCTTTCACCCAAAGACGTCGTCGCCTGTCTGCGTGCTGTTATGAAAGAGCACTCACTAGTAACGCTCAATGAGCACACGCGATGCGCGCTTTACGGTCTTCGTACGGACACGACCCTACAAGTGTAGATTCCAACAATTTGGAAAGTCCCCCAATACCATCGGAGCGACCCCAAGCATCCAGCGAAGACAAAGTCCAGCACCATCCAGCATCAGCGATTCAGGATTCAAGAAAAAAGATTGACCAGCGAACAGTCAGTCATCCATGCAGCACTGAGCAAAATTCAGCAGTAGTCCTGAAATGATACGCACCATTTTGGTTGATCTTGAGGGTTGTTGAGGTGAGAGTGCGTTGAGTCTTGGCGGATGGTGGAGAGGAATGTCAGACGGCGATGGAAGCCAACCCTCTGGATGGCTTGCCCGCCTGCGCTTGATGGCAGGTGCCGGTGCGCGAAGTCGCCGCACGTGACGTTGCAGTTCGCGACGGGCACGCAGCTGCCGCGTGGCTCGGCCGAGCGAGCTGCGGCCTGCGCGTCCCGCCAAGGGGCGCAGCAAGTCGAGATGAAAGCTTGCATGCAGAGGAAGTCGTGATTTGGGGTTGCGATTCAGGAGCCCGGCGAATGCCTTGACCTTCTTCCACTTCCACGCAAACCGCTAAAGCATCCGCTCACGACTCTACTTACTCGAATCTCCAGTAAGTATCTTTCTGTTCAGAGAAGGCCGCTCCTCCAAGGGCTTTGTCACTGCAATGCGACTTCCGCCAATGCCTTAGTAGGCGCTTCGCAGAGGGTTCGGTTCCCTCCAGCTTGCACCAATGAAAGCTTTCCCAGAGCTCCACCACCGCGTCCGCTGGCTGGAGTAACCCTATTCTTGTCCATCAAGTCGGTTTAGCAGGTGCATTCAATGGCTCTGCATCCAGAGATTGGCGGTGCAGATGCTTTGCTCAGGGGACAATCGAGCCGCTTCGCTCGGCATCGAGTAGATGGGCTGAGCAAGCAAAGCAGTGGTGGCTGGCGATGGAGGGGTCTGTACGGAGGCCCTTTGGAGCGTCAGAGATTGGCGCATCGTTTTATCGCTGGAGCGGAACAGTAGGCTGACTGCTCAGCCTTTCTGTACCCGCCTGGCAGGATATTCATCTCAAAGGTCGCCCAAAATGGTCCGCATTTCAGTCCTGGTGAGTTCAGCAATCTGCGCCTAAAGGTCGATGCGAATTTGCGAAATTGACTCTCAACCATCACGTACAGAACGACGCGCTCAACAGCATTGTCAACGCAGAGCGCAAGGGAAAGCGCCAAGTGCTCCTCAGGCCGTCTTCCAAGGTCACCATCAAGTTCTTGAGCGTCATGCAACAACATGGTGAGCACACAATGCGGAGCACTCGACTTGGCGACGAGCACGCATGTACTCCTCAGCCTCGGGCTTGTAACTGTTGGGCGATCGGCCGGGCCGCGATTCACACTCGCGTCTCGATTCTCCCCACCGGTGCTCATCTTTAAGAGCCCGGCAGAGCAAAGCTTGCTCGAGCCCTTTGGGCCGGGCGCTTGCACTAGCGAGCTTCCATTCTATCTTCGAATGGGCAGCTTGCCGGCACTCAGCTACATGGCCAGCCCAGTCGCTCTCGAATCGAAAGCTGACTGGAGACTATAATTGATCTTGTTTGCAGGGTACATCGGCGAGTTCGAGATTGTTGACGACCACAGATCAGGCAAGATTGTCGTGCAGCTCAACGGAAGAATCAACAAGGCTGGTGTCATCTCTCCCCGATTCAACGTCCCCCTCTCCAGGATTGAGGGCTACGCCTCCAACTTGCTCCCCAGCCGTTCCGTCGGACTTGTCATCCTCACCACCTCGGCTGGTATCATGGACCACCACGAGGCCAGGCGCAAGCACGTCGGTGGAAAGATTCTCGGGTATGTAGCATGCGTTTGTGCAGCAGACGTAAGCATGGATTGTCGGACTGACGATTGGATTCGGCTACTCCAACTCTTTTGCAGATACGTCTACTAAGCGTCTCGAGCTGTACTGCTTATGCAGACCAGATTTTGGCGAGTCAAGCTGTTGTCCTAGCTCCGCACCGAGGGGTGTCAAGCCTCCCTGTACTACCTTCATGCATTACGCTACCACAAAACCTATGCGCACAGCACAATGGCATCATGGGTCACCCCCCTGCGTGTGGATGGTTCGTGATCTGTGCCACATCTGCTCGTTAAATTCACCGCCAACGCTCGTCGGTAAGCGGTGAAGCCAATCAGTCTTTGTCTTTGCGGTCGTTGTGTGTCAAGCTGCTCCTTCTTGCTTGTCAGGCCGTGAGGTCGAGGGGACTCGAAACCTCACACAGCCATGGGCCATACGGTCCCTCGCCGCGGGTCCCATTTGACGGATCGACATGCATCAGGCGCGTGAAATCTCGGAGCATGCATGGTCTGCGCTGCGCGCATGCCGCCCCTTACTCACGGTTGTGGCCGACGCGGGCCAAGCTCGAGACCGCCATGGCCGCCGCGTGCATCAACAACCCACAGTGACATCTCCTCTGTGCACTGTTTCTGACTCACGACACCCCGAGTAACACCTCTCGACTCCTATCGCCTAGCCTCAGTTCTTCCGTTCAGACCTCGTCTTCCACTGCTATAGTCCGAGTCGTAGCACTTGCCTTGGCACTCACTTCAACTGTATGACGAAAGCACGCCGAACGTCATTTAGTCTGACACAGCCTCATTGCGACAGCCCTCTGTTCGTAGTTATCACGCCTCCCTCCACACATCCGGCTATCCACTATCCGCTGCACTACAATGCCCGAGCGAGCACCATCCATAGCACCCTCAACGATCTCCCGATCCGGCGTGAAACTCAGCTCATCACCGACAGCAGCACAGGCCACGCTTAGCCCCGCATCGCAAGTACCATCGACCTCCTACCTCTCTAGATCGGCAGAAAGCGCGACGCGCCGGTTGCAGAGGGTGGCGAGTGATGCCAGCTTCTCTGTTCGCACCCCGCATCGCAAGCGAAGTCAGGCGATCGAAGATTGCAAGCCGCCACGCGATGCACTTGCGGAAGCATCGAGCC